GTATCCCACTAGTCCGCTGCAGGACAAGCTCACTCTGGCAGGTTTCTGCAGACTCCTTGCTGATAGCTCTGCCTCTGCCTTTTTCTTTACCCCGGGTTCCTATTCCCGGGGCTCCGATCTCAACTAACGGCTCCTCTGTGGCCTCTCATCTTCTCTGACATCATGTCCACCCTTGATCACTTCCCTGTCAAGACCACACAAATTCCACCTTGAGTCCCAGATGTTCACAGTTCTTGTTCTGGATACCACACTTGCATTTTACACCTACTGACATGGCATGATTGGATGGGTAGACACCTAGGAGATTACTGATGTGCACCAGGTCTGTGGCTGTGAGGATGCCTCTAGAGAGGACTCACTCAGAGGGAGGACTCACTGAGAGGGAAGACCCACTCTGACTTGGGGACTAGGTGGAACAAAAGAGAAAGAAGCCAGAACAGGCTTGTACTCTCTGTTTCCTGGCTGCTGTGAGCAAGCTCTTTTCTTCCTTGGCTCCTGTCTGCCATGATGCCCAGCCTCCTTGCAGTCCCAGAATCAGAGACATTTGACCATTGACTGAAACCTCTGAGACAACTGTGAGCTACAGCAAACCATTCCTCCAATGAAAAAGTATCTATCAGGTGTCCTGTCATAGCAGTGGAAAAGCCCAGCTTCTAAGCCAGAGATCCAAGCCCGGGTATTCACTTCGGATTCTCATTGACTTCCCTACGCTTTCTGTTATTCTTATTCTCCAATGTAGAAACTCCATCAAAACCTACTTCCCTCTACCCCCATTGTTATTACTGTCTTAATAGAGGAGACTAGCAACTTTTCTGAATTATTTCAAAAACCACTTTTTTTTTTTGTGGCGATCTTGCACACCGTTTTGTAATTATTATTTTGGAGGGGGTTGATTGATGGGAAAGGAGCCCATGCCAAATGTCTACTAAGCTATACCATCCCCAAATCCTGTTTGTGAGTTTTCTAATTCATGGCCAGATTGATCTTTCAAGGGGGAGGGGACTTTTAGAGTGGTCATTGACACTCTTAAATCTTAAGACATTCATGGCTCTGAAAAGCTGAGGGATAATATCTAACTTCCAACTTCAGCCTTGGGCTTTGCAATAATATGATCCCAGCTCTAGCTACTTCCCTGTTGGAATACTATGCTCTGGCTTTTCAGAGTTCATTTTTTCTTGTGTATTGTTTCTACTTGCAGCTGAGGGCAGATACATCCAATACAGACTCATCTTTCAAACCTTAAACGTAGACTATATCTTGTGCTATGTTAGGAAGCCTTATTATGCAATGTAAGTACCTGTTACTTGTCTATCTTTCACATGGATGGGATAGTGTCTTGCTCATTACTGTGTTTCCAGAGAAGGCAGAGGGGGGGTTGGTGAGTTTAAATTTGAATCGACTCATCTTGTAGATTTTCCTCCCCTAAGACTCAGCCTACTTTAACTTGTCTTCCATACTGCTCCAGGGTGATCTTTCTGAAATGCAAATGAATCTATGCTGCTCCCAATAAATCTTTTAGCAGCTCCCCGCTATTTGAGAGAATGTGGGCTTTGCTCTTTGTCACAACCCTCTGTTGCTTTTTCCACACAGTATTCACTTATTCAACTTATTGTCAAACTGCGTTTTCATTCCCTCTTAGTCTTTGACTCTGAGACGCAGACAAAGTTCTAGCCTTCAGGGTCCATGTTATCCAGGCTAAGCCAAATAATACCATCACTGTCTGGGCCACAATGACAGGTTTAGGAATATACAGGTTAACCAAAAAGGCCTATGAAAGTTTCATAGGGATATTTTGGAAAATGACTCTTAACTAGATCTTGTACCAAGGCAAGCCCAGAACTTAGGTCAAAACGATGTAAGGAGGAATCCAGATCTGGATAGTCCTGGTTACTTTATTTGACCTTTGACCCAGTAATGTTTGAAAGAGGCCTTCCCTTGTGATTTCATCCAATACCCTTTTCTGCTTGCCTGAACCAGATGTCAGTTCATCTACTTATGCATTCATTGCACACAGATTCACTGTACTTCTGCACTGTTCTAATGATGGTGACAAACAGGTAGACTAGGTCTTTCTTCAGTGATTGACAAGAGACCTCACTGATCCATAGTCCACAAACACACTACATGGCTACACGCAAGCTTGGTCCCATTGTGACTGTACAGAATCGAAAGCCCCCTCTCCCCCCATCCTGATCACTCACACCTCTGCACCCAGCCTTCACTGAATTGTGCCCTCTAGCATCTCTTCTCTGTGCCACCCCCTCTTAACACCTTTGTCTTCTGCCAAGAATCATTTCCTCCTTTACCCATTGCATGCCACATCCAGTGCCATCCTGGCCCAATGTTTCCCCTAGACCCTCACCGAGGCCTCCAGGGCGTCTCTTTGGTTACTTGTCTGGTTACTCCATCACCTCTGCTTCATTGGTTTTGTTTGATATCAGCCCTGAAAAATCCCACAATGCTGATTTAGCGCGAGCATCTGCTGTCTAAGAACTCACTTCCGGTCTTCAGTGTATAGTTTTGGGGGAAAACAAAGAACACTGGGATGAGTGCCATAGTGAATGAGTACCTCTAATTTCTGAGGGTCTACAGTGCTGCTCATAACCTTTCTGTGTGTCTCTGGTCAACAACTCCCTTTTGTCCTTTCAGCTGTTATTTCAGACCTTGGCTTTTCCGCCTAATGCCTGTCTTCTAACTCTTAGTAATAGATCGGTACACATTGAAAGCTTGCTATGTAGTAAGTCTATACTGGGCGTTCTCAAACATGGTGGTGTCAAAGGAAGGGAGACAGTGGACTGGGATGGAATAGAAGCCGGGAACATAGACTGTTTGGAAGGGGGTTTAAGAGGGCTTCATGTAGTATTTCATGGTAAAGGAAATAGTCCAGGTGATGTCGAGAGAGTGAGAGAACACAGTGGGGAGAATTCATGAAAACAGAGCACAGAGCTCAAAGGGCCGGTGGAGTAGACTGTGGCCCTTCCCTCTGACACTCTCTCCCCACCTTCTTCAATCTCTTCCTCCCTCCCTTCCTTTGGAGTCAACAGTACTTTAGAATATTCCCTGAGGAGCCCCCAAAGAAGATATCAGTGAATTCGTAAGTGGGAGACACAGCTCCAAGCTGCCCGTAGCATCCCAAGGAGTTCTTCATAGGGATTTCTGCTCAAGTGAAGCTAGGGCTCTTAACTTAGAAGCAGAAAAGAATGAATCAGTGTGAAACAGAGTGGTATTTTGTTAAGAAAAGGTTTTTAGGTCGAGTGTGGTGGTACATGCCTTTAATCTCAGTACTTGGCAGGCAGAGGCAACGGGGAGTCTTTGTGAGTTCCAGTCTAGCCTGGTTAACTTAGTAAGTCCGGGACAGCCAGGTCTACATGGAGGCCCTATCTCAACAAATAACTAACAAAAACAAAAAAAAAAACAAAGGTTTTAATGGTTATACCATCAAATTGCCTTATGAATATTTATGTTTCTATCCATAGGCCTGGCTGTTCCCAACCTTGGTCAGAAACATTTCTTTTCTTTTTTCTTTCTTTTTCTTTTTGGTGGGCAACCATCAGTGCTGAGATTCTTGACTGGTCAGAGTCCTGAGAATGAGTGAGTGAGTGCTCAGGCTTACATGGGACACTTGTATTACCCCCGCCCCCCAACCGAGGCAGAGGGAACATGGCAGAAAGGGAGGGGAAAAGACTAGAAGAATTGGAGGATGAGGAGGGGTTCTGGGAAATGCTGACTTCAGGATGTGACATGATTACTACACCCAGGAACCCACAGCAGCTGTGGTTACCCGCACAAGACCTTTGCATGATCAAGCCAGCCCAACCCCAGCCTAGATGGAGCAGGTGGTCTTCAGGCCCCTCTTACTGAAGAACTTCTGCATTGAGGTGTTTTCTGGGCAAGGAGGGGCCATCATGGAAGGTTTCCCATCTTCCAGTGGATGGTCCCACACCTATGCATCTGTGACTTTAATAACTGGACTTAATGACTCATTAAAAACAAAAAAAGAGTAAAAAAGAAAAAAAAAAGACATGAAGTTGGGAGGGGGCATATTAGGAGGGAGTGGGGAGTTCAAAGTTGGGAAAGAGAAATAAATATGGTCATATTTCACTGTAAACATGTACGAGATTCTAAAAAAGAATCCAAACAGCTATGGAAAAAAAATCCTGAACTACCAATTTCTGAATAAAACTTCTGAGGAGGAAAAAAAAGTGTTTTTAAAATTCATGGATCTGTAGGCATGTGTCTGTGTTAGTGAATGCTCCACATGTACAGGGGCCTGCAGAGACCTCAGTCTCTTAGAGCTGGAGTTATAGGTGTTTATGAGCTGCCTGATGTGGGGTAGGGAAGGGAACTTGGGTCCTGTGGAAAATTAGTAAGTATTCTAAGCTGCTGAACCATTTCTCCAGCCCCAAGTAAAGAAAGGGTTTTTAACACAGATTAATCACTAAGGGAGGAAAGGAAGAAGATATGGAGGGAAGGAAGGAGAGAGAGAGAGAGAGAGAGAGAGAGAGAGAGAGAGAGAGAGAGAGAGTTAGAAAAAGGGTAGTATGTAGCCAAGTGAAGGTCTGTGAAGTCTCAAGACTCCTCCAAACACACCTTCCTCCTTTTCTTACAATTGGTCTTCATCTTAAATCCCTGATGTCACAGTGTGGCATCTCCCCGATCGAGTTAGTCATTAACGTACTGTGCTCCTTCCTCATTCTGTCCCCTCATCTACACTATGATTGCTGATCGTGTTTAGAGCCTATGGAACCCTCACCCGGGTTAGTACAGAGGTCTCTGATCATCTCCTGGTGCTTTTGTGAAGCCTCCTGTACATGGCCGTTCAAACAGTAGTGCAAACATTCAAATTTGCCTGGGTTGATGGATGTTGAGGATCATTCATGAACTCCTATTAGGTTCAAGTGAAGTTCAAACTCTTTTTTTTTTCCCTGACCAAAACATTTAATTAACAAAAAAATTACAATAGCAGAGAAAATAATAATAACAACAACAACAATAAAAAGAAATTAGAAGTGGGAGTCAGGGTGAAAAAGAAAGTGCAGAGGCCTTAGTTCCTAAGAGACCAGCACTCCTGCTGAGCTGGACTTAGCGCCAGCTCCTTCTGAGCTTTCCTTGGCTGCTGGCTTCTCATCTTCCCCCATAAGACAAGTGTTGTGCTCTTCCAGAAATTCATTGAGTTCTTTCCCCTTTGCCTGAAGCTGCTGTGACAGTGTCTCGATGATCTTCTGTATCTGCTCTTTGTCACCCTCCAAGGCAGGCGGCACTTCTTTGACGGTCTGCTCTACCAGCACACCTCCAACCATGCGGTAGCCCTTGCGGGTTTCATCCACTTCCTTCAGTGTATCAATCACTAGGCTGTGCTCATTCAATTCCATCTCCCGCCCAGCTACTTTGGATGCCAAGCCTCTCTGTTCCTGCCAAAGGCGGTTAAAGCCAGCAGTTACCTGTTCGGCCGACACCGCCCCCTTCCCCGTGCTCCGGCTGCTGCTCTTGCTCACACCACCGCCGCTGTCCGTCATCTTCGCCACCTGCCGAAGTTCAAACTCTTGACATCCCATTCTAGTCACTTTTCATGAGGTAAACAACTTACAGGAAGAAAGACAATTCAGAAATTTAAGTTCACACCAGCTGGTTGTTGTTGTCGTGACCCTGAGATGGCAGGAAGCATGCAGCGGGAGAGCTGGGGAGCAGAGAAAGACAGAGAAGACACACCCCAGCAACTCCCACCCTCTAGTCAGGCTTCACCTTCACGCTTCACACCTCCTCCCCATAGCCCAACAGTGCAGGAAGGCATGGTAGTTAGTGCTCTCGTGGTCCCCGCCCAATCACCTCTCAGCAGTGCGGACAGCTTCTAATCAAGATGCCTGGAGGTCCTGCCCTTGCCCAACCTCTCTAGGCTTGGTCTCCATCCTTGCTATGTTCTTTCTGCCTCTGTGTACATGTGGTTTCTTCCTAGTTTTCTGTTCCAGGCTTGTTCTTGAACATTCCTCAAGACTCAGCTCAAGCTTTATCTTTTAAAATAAAGATTTCTTGATCAGCCCTCTACCCCCCACCCCAGCCAACTCCTCCAGCTCCCTGAGCTTGGGACTCTCTGTAGGTCCACAGTGATTTGCTTGGCCCGAGCTCCTTACAAATCAACCAATGGGCTTCTAATGTCTGTGTCATGCCCAAGGCAGGGAGATGTGCAGGCTGCCTTTGTCAAATGAATTAATAGTGTAGCTTACTCCATGTGCCGGTCTGGGATGACATATGACCCAGTCTTGAATACTTTCTTTAAATCACACTATAAACATTTCACTTGACATAGAATTGCAAATATAAAATCACTCATCCAGTACTTCAAACCACCTAGACCTTTGTCTGTTTCCTGTGACAGAGGGCTGCGCCAGCAAAGCAGCCTTCTCATGATTCTCCTTGTGCTTATGGTTTATAACAGGAGAGACCTCCTCTAGTCTTTGATTTCTATTGCTTTTGTTCTGTTTTTGTGCTCACCGTTTTAGATAACAGAACAGAGAAGATGAGCTATCGAGTCGTTCTTGGCTGACTTGTTTCTGAAGCATGCTTTTGTTCTTCCCACCTTTCCTTAAGTCAGTCTTTAGAGCAGGGCATGAAAAACAAATTAGAATAAAAGGAAGCAGATCTGACAAATTTCTGTGAAGCTTCCTGTTTCTTTCAGATCGATGGTGGTGAGGTCTCGAGCATGCTATTCACAGCTGTTCATGCTGCCCTTCTCTTTAGACCATTTTTTATTAAACACACACTCAAAGTACGATACTATGATTTTGCATCTTAATGTACACAACAAATCTGTGAAAAATTATTAAGGCATGAAAGCATTTGGAAACCAGAGAGGGCTGGACTTAATATGGGGGCATGGGAGAGAGTCGGGAGAAGAGTGAAGGGGGAGGGTCGAGCAGACGCTGGGTCTTAACGGTCCTGTATACCAACTCCACACGTCTGGGCTTTCCCCCAACAGTGGTGGAATGCCATAGGCTTGTGACCTGTCAGATGTGGGCTTTGTAGATAACTCGGGCTGCACAGTGGAGAATGAGGGAGTGAGGCCAGCTAGGATATTTCAATAATTGAAGTCAATTACAAGGGGGACTGAAACCAAGAGGTGGGAGCATAGATTTTAGAGGCCTCAGGCAGAGGCAGAAATACAAAAGAATAAGACAGTAGACCCCTGAGCTGAGTGTCCCTGGCCACTTCTCAGAGTGTGATCCCCTAGGCATCTAAAGCCGGTTGCTAATAGTATCCTCATCTACAAAATGGAGCGAACAGCAGTAACCATCTCACAGAAGTCTTGCATGAATGAGGAGATAATGTGTGCTGTGGGAGTCAGATTCCTGGCCTGCCCAAGTGTATCCACACCCTACTCTTCAGAACATCTGAATAGATGTTATCTTAGGGACAAAAGAGACTTTGCTGTTGTGAATAAGGTGAATCAAAGATCAGAGAGATTGTCTCTGATTATTCAGGTGGACCAATCTAACTATGCAAGTTCTGAGTAGGACATAATCCTTTGAGAACCTCGCCTGGCTATAGCCAGACAAAGATGTGGTATCGGAACATGTGCAATACTTACACTGTGGAATAAATGACAGGTATTATATTGATGGCTTTGGAGGTGAAGGAGGAGACCATGAGCCAAGGGATATGAGTTTCCTTTAGGAAAAAGCATGGAAACAGATTTGCCCCACCTGCACCCCTAGAGCTTCCGGAATAGGTGGTAGTCCTGACAGGATCCTCATTTTAGTCAGCAAGGCTTGGGGTATTAGCCTAAAGAACTCTAAGATGTTACTTCAAGCCTAAAATTTTATAATTATTTGCTACAGAAATATTGGAAAGCTAGTGAGTGTGTAGAGGGCTCAGCCTAGAGATGATACATTGAAGAGCCACCAAGTCAGGTGAGTCAGTGAGACATCATTGACTAGAGGTGGGGGGAAGGAGGGAGGGGAATCTGTCACCCACACTGTGGCCAGGGCTTAATTTGGGATATTCAGGCATCTTGTTGGTTATGGAATCTGAAACACAAGAGGAGATCTGGTGTCTACCAGCATTATAGAATTATTATCACAGAGTAAATTCACTTCACTCCATCACAGCTAAGAGATATTTAGGAAAAGTATTCTTCTCCAGGTCCCTGGTTTCTCAAACTGACTTCCATATCCTTGAGGCCACACAAGTGTAACTATACTGATCACTTGGATTTAAAATTAATGTCTTGAATATTGTCATCTAACCCAGGAGGAGCTATGATTAGATGTCACTCTCCATCTTTGAAGCCACAAAATCAAAATAGGACTTTTCTTATGTAGCAAGCAGCACAGGTCTTGGAACCTGGTGTCACTAACAGGTGACTGATTCTAGGTAGGTGCTCAGACTGATTTGTAAGGCATCGAACATCTCACTCAACTGCAAGCAACCTTGATGAAGAGTTAGTGTTTGCCTTAATTTTTTTTATGTGATCCTGACAGTCCTGGGGGCTAGGTGTTTGCAGGTCTAATGCTTTGTCTTGGTAGTCTTAACGTTGTATAATCCCCACATGGGTTTCTTTGTCCCTGACTCCAGCAACAGCACATTGTTGAATGGGGACAGCCCATTCCTCTCCATGGATGCCATTTCATACCCAGAAAGGCCTGTACTGCTGAACCAGGTCTAAGCCTTCATCTGTACCATCTCACCACAGCATATACGCTCTCCAGCCAGTCCACAGGTCACCCAGTTCTGATTCTTGCATTTGTTGGATATGACCATCTACTGCACCGGTGAGCAGCTCCATGGGTAAAGATCATCAGCGGCAACTGTTGGGGTGAGAGATAGTTCAAAGCCCTCGCGCTGAAAGAAGGTATGTGCTTGTGGCTGTCATTGCAACAGCTGATGCTTGGCGGAGGCTGTTTTTTGTTTTTGTTAACTTGACACAGGGTAGAGTCATCTGGAAAGAGATAACCTCAACTGAGAAAATGCAACTGATCAAATTGATCTGTATGCAAGTCTATGAGGGCATTTTCTTGATTAATGATTGATGTAGAAGGGCACAGCCCACTGTGGGTGGTACCATCCCAAGGCAGGTAGTCCCAGGTTGTATAAAACAAAAAACAAACAAACAAAAAAAAAAACAAGTTGGGTTTGGGGATTTAGCTCAGTGGTAGAGCACTTGCCTAGCAAGCACAAGGCCCTGGGTTTGGTCCTCAGCTCTGAAAAAACAAAAACAAAACAAAACAAAAACCCCAAAAACAAGTTGAACAAGTCCTGGGGAGAAAACCAGCAAGCAAGGTTCCCCTATGGCCTCTGCTTCAGTTTCTGCTTCTGGGTTCCTGAATTGAGTTTCTGTTTTGACTTCTTTACAAGAAGGACTGTGATCAGGCTATATAAGCTAAATAAACCCTTTTCTGTTCAAGTTGCATTTAGTCATGGTATTTATTACAGTAGCAGAGAACAAACTAACAGAGGCTCACTATACTATAGTAATCAGCAAGGGAGCCCTTTAGACACAGAGCTTCTAGACACCTTCTAGAGCTAAGGAGCACCTTAGACAACTCTAGTAAATTGCTCAAGCTAATGTAGCAGCAAAGCCAGAATTCAAAATCACTTTTATCCATTTTCCAAATCCACATTCTTTCTAATACCCATGTTAACAATATTAATACAAAGATAAAAAGGTATGTCTGAGAAACATGGAATGTTCTGGTACTCCTATCCAACCTTCAGCACCTCCAGGGACTTCCTAGTTCCCCATCCCCGAGGAGCTTACTGTTCTCTGATTTAGCCAGGGCTATTTGAGTGCTGACTACAGGCATGATGCTGGGTGAGGCTCCTCAGAGAGATCACTTTCTAATGGGGTGACTGTATCAGTAAGAGGACAGGTCCCCTGTGCTGTGTTTATCTATCACAGTGCAGACCAGCAACTCTCGCTGGGGGCCTGGATGGAGATCCTTGTACCCTCTACAGCAGGTTGCCTGCTTTCCACACACTATGCATGACCTGTTGTAGAGGAATCCCCTGCATTCCTGGGAGGCAGGAAAAACATGTATTGATGCAGAACCTCATGGCTTAAGCTACTGTCCATCTCAGCCCTCAGTGAGTCCCCTCAAGGGGCAAACATCTCTTCATTCATGATAAGTTATCCAGAGGGCCAGATTCCAGCAAACCCAGTCAGTACTTATTATCTGAGGCTGAAGAACAAACATCTCCCAGATGCCCAGGATACGTGTTTGAGTGGAGAGTGGGGCCTCACTGGCTGCTCTGAGGCTTCCTGGATCTCAGAGCTGGATCACCTGAACATCTTCCTTCACTGGATCTCCTCTCAACAACGAGGACATTAAAAATTCAGTCATGACTTGGCAAGATGCAGTTCACAAAGCTGCGGCCTGACATCTCCTCTCTCCTGTCAGGCCATCTCATTTCCTGTAACACTGACATTGGTCTCTATTCACCATGGGGACCGCCCTCCTATGTTTTTGTCTTCTACTTCAAGGCTCTGTATCTGACCTGCTTATTCACTGGCTCAATGACGTAGCTTTACCCCAGCGGGTGAGATTTGACTAACCCATACCCCTGTGCATGGTACCCTCTGAGGAGGACCACTAATGGGCAGAAACCTGATTTTGATTTTTTAGCTTGTGCTGTATACTGCTCTAGTTTATGCGTGAGCTTATTCTCCCTAAATATGGCTTCAGTTCAGCAACCATTGAAGACTCTGATTTCCATAGCCAACAGTTTGGAAGATTCCCTCTCCTGGTCTCAGTTGTGTTCTGGCCT